TCAAGAGCATCAAAAGGCCTTGAACAAATTCGTTGTAATTGCTAGAGAGCATGTGTGCTTGCCAGAGACAGACAGAGGGACAGAGAGGGAAGGGGAGGAGCACCGATGGGCTGTGGTCATGCCGCAATCCCTTCCTCCATTTCCCCATCCCGTGAGGATGTGGGGCACGCTCTCCAGACCGCTGAGGCCAGGATTTGAACCGCCGTTAGCCATGTGGGTTCCCACTCCATTAACCATTAAGCCATAGGACTGGTCCCAGGTTTTTTAAATGTATCGGGTCCTCTGGAAAGTGATGATGCATTTTTGCGTAGAAGAACAAAAATACATCATGACTCTCCCAACGACCTAATAGCAGCATTTTTCTTTTTTTTTTTAAAGAATTATTTATTTAATTTTATCTACGATTATTATTATTGTATTTAATTTGGTACAGGGCACCTGCACTCACTAGAGAGAGACAGAGAGAAGTAAGAAAGCCAACCACCAGGTCCAGGACTTGAACAGCAGTTGGCCACGTGGGAGTCCAGTGCCTCAACAACTATGTCAAATGCTGGTCCAATAGTCGCATTTTTCTTTTTTATTTTTTCTTTTCTTTTTTTTTTTTTAAGAGAGATGTTTGCTACAGGGCACATACACTCGTCAGTGAGACAGAGAGACAGAATGCAAGAAATGGCCACACCACAATCCCTTCTCCATTCTCCTCTCTGGATTTTGGGGGTGTGCCCACATGTGCCCTGCGTGAGTCTTTAGCCACCGGTCTGAAACTCAAACTGCAGTCAGTAGGAGTCCAGAGACGTAACCATTACGTCACATACTGGCCCAATGGTTGCGTTTTCAAAGATGAGTCTGCAGGTGTGAACTGACAGGACCGGGCGAGGTGGGAGCAGGGCTCTGCCCGGACCCCCTCTTCCCAGCACATTGCCTGAAGGCTGCCAGGCGTCTCCTGTAGCACCTGCCGGCCCTCAGGGCTGGGGGCCGGAGCCACTGCTGCCACCTCCTGACCACGGGCATGCGCACACTTCCAACCACTGCTGACAGCCTGCTGTCCCCCACGGCCAGCCAATGGCCAGAAACAGTGACCAGGGACCTTCCCGGAGCACCCCTACCTGCTCACCTCTCGCCTAAGTCATTCCAACAGCTTTTTATTTTTGGAGAAGTTTCCACTATAGGGCATATGCGCTCGCCATACAGAGAGAGACAAAGAGACAGAAAGCGAGAAATCGCCCCCCAGGGAGGATGGCCACACCACAATCCCTTCTCATCTATTCTCCTCTTGGGATCTTGGGCATGCACGCACACACACCCGGCGTGAGTTTAAGCCACTGGGTCCGGGACTCAAACCACGGTCGGCTACATGGGAGTCCAGCGACATGGCTATTATGCTAACTGCTGATCCCTGCAGCAGCTTTTTTAGTAGTTTCACAAGCCATGACATCCCGTCTCTTTCAGAGGGAACTTCCTAGATACGCAGTAGACCTTCCTCACTCACTGTTTCCATCTTGTGGATTTGCTGACACACTGAAGACGTATTTGTAACCTGAAAATTAATGGGAACCAGCAGTTAGCATAATGGCTATGTCGCTGGACTCCCCCGTAGTCGACCATGGTTCACGACCTGGACACGGTGGCTAAAAACTCACACCGGGCGCATGTGCGTGTGTGCCCAAGATCCCAAGACGAGAATGGAGGAGAAGGGATTGTGGTGTGACCATCCCCCATGGAGGGGGGGTGATTTCTCGCTTTCTGTCTCTATGTCTCTCTCTATCTGTCTGGCGAGCGCACACGCCCTATAGCGAAAATCTCTCCAAAAAAATTAATTTGCAAAGCATCTTTATGGCCATTCGTGACACACACAGAGTAGCGAAATATTTGAGTCGCCCAACACACATGTTCCCAGCTGAGGGTGAGCGACAGGACACGCAGCTTTCTTTCAGTCCTCACGCTTGCACACGCGTCCTGTTGGAGACCTGAACGTTACTACGTTTTTCTTATTTTGGGGCTTTTCATTGGTGAATGTGCTACTTAAAATGACCCTCAAAGGACCAGCAGATGGCATAATGGTTACATCACTGGACTCCCACATGGCCAACCGCGGTTGAGTCCTGGACCCAGTGGCTTGAAACTCACACCAGGCACATGAGCGCCCAAGATCCCGGAGGCGGAAGGGACTGTGGTGTGGCCCTCCCCCACCCCCGGGGGGGCTGATTTCTTGCTTCCTGTCTCTCTGGCAAGTGCAATCACCCAAAAGCAAAAATCTCTCTATAAATACATTACTTAATTAAATAAAATGGCCCCCAGGCAGAGTGCCACCGTGGTGCCCAGCGCTCCCAAGAGCCAGAAGGCTGCCACGTCACGGGGAGCAAATCCCACGTTAGGTGAGCCGCGTTTCCGAGTGAGCGGCAGAGCTGTGGGCCGTGAGTTCAGGGTTAGCAAATCCACAATGAATGTCAGATAAGGTGTCTTTAAAGAGAAACGCACATGAAGCAAGGTCGGTAAACAGGCTGGCAGGACCCCAACCTAGTGTTTGCCCACGGGCAAAGGTTCAGTTCTCATGGACGGTGTTCACCTCGGCCGCAGAACACGACTCCCTGCAGGCGGGAATCCAGGGCACAACTCGACCGTGAGGCTTCCTTGTTCAGAATCCCCCTGCCGCCCTCTGCACGCTGCCTCCCTTTCCCTCATTCCTGTGCCTCTGGGGAAGGCAGAGCAGAAGGGGGGGGGGAGACGGAAGCACACGTGCACGCTCGGCGTGGCAGTGCGGGTACTTCGTGGTCCGGAAGGTCTTTGCCAGCCTCCCAGCGTCCTTGCCACGTGGTTCCCGCCATGGTCCACTGTCGAACGCTCACGCCTCATCTTTCGCAGAGGTCCTCGGCACGCCGCACCCACTGCCTCAGAGACCTCTCCTCACCTCCTCCTGGTGGACTCCTACACATCCCTGAAGACCCAGCTCAAACGTCACCTTCTACAGATCTCCCTCTGGCAGAGCTTAGCGCTGTTCTCTGCCTCGTCTCTTACAGTATTGCTCACAAGGTTGTACCCAATCCTGCGTGTGCCTCCTCTCTCCCATGCTCGGTGACAGTCTCTCCGGAGAATGTAGGGGTGTAAACGTGCGTGTCCCCGCAGGGTGCAGCTAGTGCATCCTCGTCCACTCGGTGAGGGTAAATGGAGGCCTTAGTTCCCGGCACGTCCCAGGCACCAGGTTACTGCAGGGAACACGATGAAGCCACTGCCCCAGGCGTGTGCGGCACTGTGCCCACGAGTGTGTCCTGTGTGGATGCGTGTGCCCAAGGGACAGCCTGTGCTTGCTTGTGGAAGGACTTCTGTCACTCAGATTCCAACCCCATGTGACCTGCTGCTCCAAGTAGGTCAGCAGGCTGGTCTGCGCACCACCGAGACACCCACACACACACCAGGCGCCCTTCCAGTGAGACACCTCCCAGGCACCCTCATCGGTAAGACACCCCCAGGCGCCCTTCCAGTGAGACCCCCCAGGCACCCTTTCTCTCCCTTCGGCCTTCCAGGGCTCAGGTTTTGCCTTTTTAACCTAAAGAGGTCTTGCATCCGAATGCGCCGTTCCCCAGGAGCCTGTCTGGCCGCCTCTCCCCCTCCACCTCCCCCACGTCTCAGAGGGAAGAGGCACAGGAAGCACGGCCTGTGGACGCAGGGACGCGTTGCTGCCCACCTTGAGCCAGGCTGCTCCGGGCAGCTCCGAGGCAGATGCGGAAACTGCAGAGAGGGCTTCCTCGGTGCCGGGCGCTGTCCCAGGCACTGTCCCGGGCACTGCTCCAAGGCCGAGTTCATCTGTGCGTGGACCCCACACAGCAGGTGCTGTTTCCCACTTCACAGATTAAGGCCAAGGCCTCAGCAGTGAGGGAGCAGCACGCCGGGCTTCAGGCCGCACGGTCTGTGCCATCAGTCGGCGTTGAGGACATCGTCTTCTCGTGCTGGCCTCCAAGGCTCCGGCTTTTCCACGGTCAGAACGGTCAGTCGTCAGAACGAAAACTAGGGGCTAGATTCGGCCAGAGCTAAGACTCCAGCCACAGGGGTGTGGGCCCAGACATGAGGATGGGGGCCCAGATGCAGGGGCGTGGGGCCCAGATGTAGGGGTGTGGGGCCCAGACATGGGGATGGGGGCCCAGATGCAGGGGCATGAGGCCCAGACATGGGGATAGGGGCCCAGATGCAGGGGTGTGGGGCCCAGATATAGTGGTGTCAGCCCAGATAGAGGGGTGAAGGGCCCAGATACAGGGGTGAAGGGCCCAGATGTGATGGTATCAGCCCAGATGCAGGGGTGTGGGGCCCAGATGTAGTGGTGTCAGCCCAGATACAGGGGTGTAGGGCCCAGATACATGGGTGAAGGGCCCAGATACAGGGGTGAAGGGCTCAGATGTGGTGGTATCAGCCCAGATGCAGGGGTGTGGGGCCCAGATGGAGGGATGTGGAGGCCAGATGCAAAGCTCCAACTTCTTGGAAGAGGTGCCCAGGTGAGCTGAGGAAGAGAGTGAGAGAAAGTCATCCAGGTGGGGACAACTGAGGGGGCCATGTCACCTGGGCCACAACAGAGGTGGGGGCATCGATTTTCCAAAGGCAATGGAAGCCCTGAGGACGGAAGGCCACTGAGGGGCCCAGAGAACCTGGGGCGCAGCCCCTGGAGGCCAGGGGCATCTAAGAACCGGCAGTGGAGACGCCCGAGGGAGGTGGGAGCACAGCACTCGGCTCCTCTCCCTCGGGCCAGGGCTGGCAGGTGGACAGGAGCAGAGCAGAGTGGTCTCCGGGAGGGTGCAGGGTTCTGAGCTCAACACCTGTCGGGAGCAGTAAGCCATTTCCTAAGCCTCACTGGAGCAGTGGGGAGACTGGGGCACCAATGGCAGTGCCGGCCTGCTCCTGCTCCTGCTCCTCCTCCCAAACGGGCCGCACACCCAGGCTGTGACTGGTTCCAGCTCAGCCCTGTCCTGGAATAGCGCCGGCTTCCTGAGAAGCCCTTCTCAGTTCTGGCGTGGATCCCAGCTGCCTGCCAAGTCTGACTGCGGCTGTCAGGAGCTGTGACCTGTGGAGCCCTGAGGAGTAGCCGCTCAGGTAAAGGCCGTGTCTGGCTATGCGCGCCACCTTGGCAGGGCGCTTCTCTGGGAGTGGTGAGGGGGTCCTGGTGGAGGCGGGCTGCGCCCTCTCTGCTCTGGTTCTTCCCCCGCATCTGGGCAAACATGGGAGCCAGAGGCTGAGTGGGAGACGGCTGAGAGGGGCCCTGGGAGCTCCGAGCTGGGCAGCTCTGCCTGGGCCTGCAAAGCCCCACCCCACCTGCCCCAGGAGGGATGGGCTGGCCCGAGCTCCCGGGCGTTCCCCCAAGAAGCTGCCAGGAGATCCGCCCAGCTCAAGCAGGTTTGAGCAGCGGATGACTCAGAACAGAGCCCCCTCCCTGTCCCAGCGGTAGATGGTACAGAGAGAGGGCGGGTGCAGAGTCACCCCCAGTCTTCCTCACCCAAGATTCACAAGGTGAAGGGTGGGCAACGATGGGCAGGCAGCTCCCCAAAACTTAAGGATGGTGGCCCGAGCCCAAACTGGGCAGTTGCCAGAGGGTGGGCTCCTGAGCCAGCCTGCCTGGGTTTGAATCCCATTCCTGCCGCTTACTAGCTGTACGATAGTGAGCAAATTAATGAACTCCTCGGGCTCCTCGTTCCTCATCTCTGGGAATAAAAGATCCTCTCCTTTCTAAGTTGGCTGGAGGAATTAGTAACATATTGGTTCATGCAAAGGGCCGAGGGTAGTGCCTGGCAGGGCACACACACCCAGGCAGCCGGGGTAGTTTCCTGCTTCGCTGCGGTTCGCCCGGGGTCAGGACGGCCTGGTGACCTTGTGGCAAGAGGCTGTGCAGACAGGCTCGCTGGGCCTGAGGTGCACAGTGGGCTGAGACCACGGAGGTGGGGTGCAGAGGACACCCGGGAATCGAGGGAGTGGCACCCCTCTGCAGTTCTGTTCCTCAGAGGAACCTCTGTGAGCTCATTCTGCCAAACGCACCAGCAGAACTGCACAGACCAGCAGCGCCCGTCCCGGTGTCTGGGAAAAGCCTCCGGAGGAAAAGGGACGCTGTGGTCTCCAAGGAGTCTGAGCAATGCCGTATATTGTATCCTTCTGGAGACTCACAGAGTGAATGTATTAGCAGGGTGAGGCAAAGGAACCTCTGAGCCCAGTGTTTGCCTACTTTTCCTGAACCCAGAACCCTTTTCTCTCCGTATTCGTCAGCCTATAGAAAGGGTTCCTTGGAGCCCCGGTTTGGGAAAGACTGGAACTCCAGGCTACTAGAAGCCTGTCATACAGAGACCTGTGGCTTCCTATTTTATCCTTCTGGATTGTCACAGACCTCGCCTTAAGTAAGTTGCCCCTGAGCAGGGCGCTGCCTGGGTGTTTACAGAGTATGAGACCAGAGGGGGGTTTCAGGACAAGGCGCCGGCCTCCTTTCATCTCTGCCCCCCCAAGTGAAGGACAAAGAGCAGGTTTCCCTTAGAAGGGGGCTACCTGAGGGGAGAGAGCAGGGCTCAGAAAGAAGCCTCCCCGAGGGGGATGGGATGGGAGGAAGACCGAATGTGTCTCTGCCATCTCTGTATCCCCCCGAGGAGGAGGGCCAGCATTGGAATGGAGGGAGAAGGCAGAATGTCCCCAATGCCACAAGTCTTCTGTCTGCAGGACCCCAGGTGCCTCGGCCCAGGAGGAAGGGGTGGAAGGGTCCCTGGACCTTCCCTCACCCGTGTTTACGAGCAAGACGTAGGGGCAGACCCAGCTCTGCACCTAATGGCCACGCAGCCTCGTGTAACCCCAAAGCTGTGTCCCCTCATCTATTAAGTGTGCCTCCAGTGGTCCGAAGGATTGAATAGACGCCATCTTTCTACAAAGTGCTCAGAGCAAGCATTCCGTACGCGTGGCAAATTGTCATTCTTGTTTCCTGCAGTCGCAGCCAACCGCAGCCGACACTTGGGTCCACCATGAACTGGGGGTCTTTTCGAGGGCTCCTGAGTGGGGTCAACAAGTACTCCACAGCCTTCGGGCGCATCTGGCTGTCCCTGGTCTTCATCTTCCGCATGCTGGTGTTCCTGGTGGCGGCAGAGAAAGTGTGGAGTGGCGACCACAGCGATTTCGACTGCAACACCCTCCAGCCGGGCTGCCCCAACGTCTGCTTTGATACCTTCTTCCCCCTGTCCCACGTGCGCCTCTGGGCCCTGCAGCTCATCCTGGTCACGTGCCCCTCGCTGCTGGTCGTCATGCACGTGGCCTACCGGGAGGCTCGGGAAAGGAAGCACCAAGAGGCGACTGGGGAGAAGGGTCGGCTGCTCTACCCAGACCCCGGCAAGAAGCGGGGTGGCCTCTGGTGGACGTATGTCTGCAGCCTGGTGTTCAAGGCCGGCGTGGACACCGCCTTCCTCTACATGTTCCAAGCCATCTACCCCAAATACCTCCTCCCTCACATGGTCCAGTGCCATGTGGACCCCTGCCCCAATATCGTGGACTGCTTCATCTCCAGGCCCACAGAGAAGAACATCGTCACGCTCTTCATGGTCAGCACGACCGCCGTCTGCATCCTGCTCAACCTCGTGGAGCTGTTCTACCTGGTGGGCAAGCGGCTCAGCGAGCTCCTGGCAAAGAGGAGAGCCCGGGCCACGAGCCAGGAGCAGCAGCCAGCCTGTGCCACCTCTTCCCACAAACAGCACGAACTCTGCTTGGGCGGACTCCAGTTTCTGGGCTCGGGTGCTCCCCCTCCTCTCTTAGCAGACCACCCTCAAAAGCATGTGAAGAAAACCGTCGTGTGAGGGGCTGCCTGGACTGGGTTGACGGGGCGGGCCTGGACTGGAAGGCTCCAGCCTCACCCACGGAGCAGCCTGGGAAGGGGCAAGGCGGGGAGAGAACTGAACTGCGAGTTGGAGGCAGGAGACATGGAGGAGCCCGAGGTCTGGGATCTAACCCCCATTCCTCATCTCCAGCCACTGCCTCAGCCGTGGGCCTGGGGCAATTACCCCCTGCTCTGCCCGTTTCCTTTACTGTAAAACGGAGATGCTGAGAGCCACCCACGGGGTTGAGCGATGTAGGTTCAGTCAGAGAACAGGTGCACAAGTGCCTTCGACACAGTCCACAGTCAGGCTTAATAAACGCCTCGTTCACTGACTCCAGATGCCCTCGGTGGTCCATCCTTTGCCTCCCTTCTCAGACCACGGTACCGGTCTCTCTGCCCCCGCAGAGGGCTGCACGTGATCCAGCCAGAGGACAGCCTGCCCTCTCCTCCAGAAAAGCGGTCCCAGCACTCCCGGGACCGTGTTGCGTGCCCATGTTGGTCTAGCCTTGATCCCAGCTGTAGGCTTCGGCCTAGGAGCTGTCTACAGCGACAGTAGGGCTTATCGGGGGGAGTCGTTCGCTGCGGGGAGACCACATGATGCTGTGCTGAACGCCTCATGCGAGCTCAAGGATCCACGAGGACTCTGGGAAAGTGACTTCAACTCTTCTCCAAAATGGGTCAGTAATACCTAGCCTGCGGGTGACTGTGGGGGTAGACGAGCTCTGGGCTGTGAAAGCCACATAGGCGTTCTCGTCGGTATTAGGAAGTGCTCTATAAACGCCTGTGGGAATGAGGCAGAGGGGCCCCTCCCCGCTGCATATTAACCTCCCCTGCCCAGCAGGACATGGGCCCAGGGCCCTGCGTAGCTCTCACTGAGGCACGCCCAGCATCCCTGGAGGGCTTCCCCTGACCCATAGAGGGCGGTCGGCCAGCCAGGCCAGGCCCCATGCCAACAGGGGATTTCTTGCTGCTTCCTTGTCTCTACCAGGGCAGTGGGTACCCTACTCAAAAAAACCTTAGTTCCTCTCCCCGCCCCCTACACAACTCAAGGGCACCCAAGTTCTAGTCCCCAGAAATACCCCCACAAGGTAGGGTGTGTTCCTGCGTTGAAGAAAGGTCACACATGCCCTGCTGAAGACCACAGAACCAGGCTTCCAGAGAAAAGTGTGGGAGGGAAGTTTGGGGACAGTAGAGTGTAGGCAATGAGGTGATGGGAAGGGCACAGGGTCAGCCAGAGCTGCTACTTGGGCCTGGGCACAATGGCATCAAGCCCTTTCCCCCTCACCGGTTCTCACTCATGACCTGCCAGCCCCGGAGTCAAGCCCAGCCATGCCCAGCCAAGACACAGAGAAGGCGTGGGCCAGGAGAGAAGAGCTGCAGGTGTTTGCTCTGAATATGTGCCCGGGGAAGTCCGTCTGTCCGCCTGCCCACCTGCCCGCCTGCCCACTCACCTAGTCGCTCTCACTGGGCTCATTAGCTCAGAAAGCCCCGCCCAGCAGGGCAGAGAGGAACAAAAGCTGCCTCCAGGAGGCCCTCCGGAAGACAGACAAGCTCAACACAGGAGAGCAGCCGCTGGACCCAAGAAGGGTGAGGACCAAATAGGGCAGGAGACTGGGCTGGGAGTAAGGGACAGACCACCACAGGCCTGAGGAGCCCGGGGGGTGCCAGGCTTCAGGCAGGAAGGCCAGAATCTCAGGGTCCCTGGAGGAACACCCGGGAAGCCCCAAGGAGGGGAAGGAATGTCAGATCCAAAGGAGGGCCAGCAGAGCGGAGGAGACAGAGCGGATCAGGAATTCTGATGCCTATCGTGTGCTCACTGGGGCAGGCCAGGGCTGGGTGGTAGAGGCTGCTCTCTGGCAACAAGCAGTGCAGCAAGACAGGTAAACAGACCCTCAAGGACGGGCCACGCGTCCTGCCTCAAAAGACAGAAAGTGTCCTGGGGTGTGGTGTCTGAAGGGGCCACGAGCTGAGTCAGGTACAGGGAAGGCTGCACTTGAGGATGGGACGTGATGGGGACTCCAGATAAGAGGGGGCGGAGGTTGGCACATGCAACATGGGCGGAGTGGCCATAATGGAAGACACGGCTGGGCTGGGGGAGCGCACAACGCGG